GGGGGAAAAATAAGAACCAAGAGAGACTATGTAAAGGTGCAAATTTCCAATGATGAATGTCATTATATTGTACACCTAAAATGTACCAATAAAAGCTATTACTAAAGGTGAGGGGTCGGGGATTTAGCTCAGCGGTTCCGTCGCCTGCCTCGCAAGCACAAGGACCCAAGTTCGATCCCTGGTACCAAAAAAACAAAAAACATAAAGGTGAAAAAAAAAGTAACAAAGTAGAAAAGGGTTGACAGTATTCCAATGGGAAACAAGGGTCTTCTCCTTGGTAGATTCAGAGTTCAAATTGGAATGAGTCTGGGATTCAGTACCAGGTAATGGAGAGGAGCTAGGTTGGTAGAAACATAGTAGGGTTGGTTCTATGATGTGGATCCCCACATCCTAGGATGCCCTATGTGTTAGGAGTGTGCCCCCAGAAAAATCTCTTAGCTTCTCTTAACTTCTGCCTTTTCACAAGCTAATCTGTTACCTTTCCAGAACCATGAAAGGTCAAATAAAGGCATGTAGGTGAATGTTGTTTATAAACACAGTGAGGAAATATTAACATTAAAAGGCATATTGGGTGGCATCATAGCACTCTGGGCCCAGACTTCCTAGGCCTGACTCCCTATTTTGGGACTTACTAGCTCTATCTGTTAAGTTGCCTGTTTTCTTATCTGTAAAGTAGGTATGATAATGTGGCCTAGCTTATAAGGTTGTTCTGAGGCTTAATGGGGTTAATACATGGAAAAGACTTAGAACCAGATGTAGAGAAATGAAATATTGAGCCATAAGGAGAAACAGCTTTCAGGGTTCAGATTATTATTTTTCTATTCTCCTTAGTTTTTTTTTATAAATTGTATTTAAACTAGTTGGAAATCCCAAAGGAAAGCCATCAAGACAGAATAAGCGCCAGAACCCAAGAAATGAAGGTAGTCTGGGCTCAAGTGGTCTGTAGTGTGGGGTGGAAAATGACCCTGCTTCCTGGGACAGAGGAAGGAAGAAACTTCACCTCCTCCTCAGTAAATTGGGTGGAAGGTCACTCCTGGCCTCCTGTAAGGGCCTGAGCAATTGAAGGACAGTGTCGGAGGGAAAGAGAGTGAGTGTGAGGTACAGGAGAGGGACTGCAACCTGCCCTTCCTAGCCTTGTGTCACCACCCCCACCTGCCTCCTGGTGTGAGAAGCGGGACCATCCGCCATTGTCCATGGACTTAGACCAGGTCTGGTCCCCAGCAGCTGGATAAGAACAGTCATGGGAACATTGCCTAAAGGGAACACAGTGCCAGTCTTTATAGGATCAGGAGCCAGTTCCTCACACTGTGCCCCTACCGTCAATTTGAGTGTGAGAACCAAAGCCAAGACTTTTCAGCAAAGTTCTGCCTTTCCCGTGGGAAATGAGGATTTCCTCAGAGTGGACAATTCCCTGCCAATAGTGTAGTACCCACCTGGGCCTTCCAGGAGCAGTGAAGTGATGAACTTGAACACAAAGGAGATGAGATTCAGAGTTACTATTGCTGTTCTGAGAAGAGGGAAGAGGGGAGTGTGTTTGCTCACTAGCGTCAGCTTGTGACACTATTCAGTGACCACATGGAGAGGCCACCAAACCAGCCCTGTCTCTCATTCACCCTCTCCAGGGAGCATCCTGACCAGACCAGGACTGGATTTGGCAGTGAGAGTCTTTTGCTTCGAGGCTGCACCATCAGAAACACTGAGGTGGCTGTTGGCATTGTCGTCTACACAGGTACTTGTGTGGGACGCTTCTTACATGCAGACTTTTCTTAATGCTCCTCCCTCCGTCCTCTCCTATGAATCCATGTTCGGTCAGGGGGAACACACAGTAGCTTGCAGAGTAAGAGCCATGGAAATTCCCATTTCTCAGCTAAGCAGACTGAGGATGGGAGTCACAGCAGCTTATTCTGTCCACAAGATGCAGGGTTAACATCATTCATCTGAGCCACTCAGGGAGAGGAATGCACATGCATTCACCTCAGCGGTCTTGTGACCACCGAAGGAAGGGTGGAGAGTAGCTCCTCTGGCCTGCAGAATAACCTCACCAAACATTTCCTCATTTGTGCAGCGAGAGGAATATCTGTGTCTCCCTCAAAAGGATACATGAGAACCAAATAAACCCACACACGAAAGGCACACAGCACTGTCTAGTGAAGGAACAGCTTGGCAGACCGCAGTTCCCGAATCCAGGGCTTTGCACGTACTGGCAAGGTTCTACCACAGCCACATCCCCAGCCCCAGTTACTGCTTTTGTGCTTGTTTCTACCATTATTCTATAGCCCCAGATATGGCGGCTGTATTATCCTGCTGTTCACTACTACACTGACGTATTCCAGGCTGGCTAACTTGGTGCAGAACAGAGACTTATTTAGCTCACAGCCTGGGAGGTTCGGGACATGGCACTGTCATTGCCTCAGCTGTGATGAGGGCTCTTGGCTGTGTGAGGGAAAAATCACACTACCAAACAGCAAGCCAAAGAGACACTGGGGTCCCACAGTCCCCTCCTGGGGTGCACCCCCAATGGACCTAAGGACCTTGTGCTAGGTCACACCTCTTAAAGGTCCACCTCCCAGCATCAGCACAACGAAGACCAAGCTCCTAAAACATGAACTTTCGGGGAATGACAACATCCAGACCATGGCAGGGACTCTCCCTCCTTTTGCTTTGGATTTTTAATCTCTGTTAAAAGCAAAGAAGAATCCCCAAGTGGGTGATGGGAGTGGCATATTTGGGGACAGTAGTAACCATGTCCCTGGGTAGCCAGGTGGCCCAGGGTGAAATCCAGTCATGTTCTGCATGTTCTTGTGTTGGTTGGTGAAACTTTCCATGCAAAATGGATCAACGGTTCCTGCCCTGCAGGAGTGGGAAGTTCAAATGAGATCATCTGTGGAAAGGCCCTAACACAATGCCTAGAATGAACTATGCTCTCAGAAAATCTGTGAGCAAACAGAACAGTGTTTTTAGTGACCCTCTCAAGCAGATGCTCTCAGCCTTGGCATTATGACATTTTGACCTGGAATATTTTTCGCAGCAAGGGACTGTCTTGCAAAATATTCAGCACCTCCTTGGCCTGTACACACTAGATGCATAAGCCTCACTCCTCTCCTGATTGTGAAAATTGAAACTTTCTCCAGACAATGCCCAATGTCCACTGGGGAGCAAAGTCACTCCTAGTTGAGGACAACTGGCCCAGAGTTACCTTCTCTCCCTTGGTATCATCAGTGAACTCAATAGGCATCAAAGGCCCAGAGGGCCCATGTTGAGCTTTCCAGAAGGAAGGGATTCAGTGTGAGCTGTATGCGCCTCACAACAAACATCTATAGAGACCTTCCTGTGCACCGGGGGTGAATCCACTGTGCATTAATGCACTCTCATACCCTAAATGCACAGCCATCAACTCTCATTTCACAGAAGAGAAGTTGAGGTACAAAGCAATTTATTCAGCTGAGGTCTCGTGAGGTCAGCTGAGATTAACTCTCTGTAACCCAAGGCCTTGTACAGTAATTGCGGAGCTGAGTTCTGTCTGTGCCATGCTGCCTCACCTCTGAGCCCACCTCTGAGCCCACCTCTGGCCAGCACAGAGGAGTTGGAAGGTGAGCAGCAGGTCCAGGACCCCCATACAGGTTGCCCTGGAGGCAGTAAGAGAATGGAGCCGCTGACTGGTGTTCATTGTGCAGCCAGCAAGAAGTCCTCATGAGCACAGCAACTTGAGTCTAATGTAAAAAGCCTGGAGTCTGATTGCTCCTACTGTTTTCTTGCTGCTTTAAATCCACGGCAACCAGCTAAACAGTATTAAAGTCAATTGCTTCTGGAGCTGATATATTGGTCTTCTTTAATTTTGCACCAAAAATATGTGACTGGTTACACTTGACTGCTGAGAAGTACAGTATGTAATTAAAATTCAGCAGCCCAAAGGAGAGGTTGTGTCTGAAGACAATACCTGTCTGATGTCTAGCTCTTAGCTGTGTGGCCTTGGGCATCATGAGTTGGAGGATGGAGAAATAGACTGGGAATCGGAATCCTGGCTTCCCACCATGACTCTGATGTCAATTTCTTCTTTCACTTTGGGCAGGTCCCTTCCACTCTCTGACCCTCAGTTTCCCTAACTGGAAAAGGGGATGACAGGAAGATATTGATAGTATTAAAACTCTTCATCCCTTCTTTAAACAAAATTTAAAGCAGATTTCCAAGATAGGTGTGGAGCTGTTCAGGTAGGGATAATACTAGGGTGAGGACATTTGTTTTCTAGTGTTCTTACAGAAAACACCAAGGCCTTAAGCACAACCAAAGAGATAACAATGGAAACTTATGACTCCAAGCACTCCCCTACCACAGGGTCTTTGCACATAGAGTTCCCTTCAGAAAAGAACCTGAATTCACTATTTTCTCTCAAAGGCCACGAGACAAAAGCCATGCTGAACAACAGTGGCCCCCGGTACAAACGCAGCAAAATTGAGCGACGTATGAACATGGACATCTTCTTCTGCATCGGGATCCTCTTCCTCATGTGCCTCAGTGGGGCCATAGGTACGGAATGTTCTGAAAACAAAAATCCGATAATCCTGTGTTTCTTTGGACAAGTTGCTTTACTCTCTGAGCCTTAGCTTCCTCATCTATAAAATGAGGCTGATAAAAAAGATAGTAATGGGACCCCATGGAAGGAAACTGCAAGTAAAATCTCGTCAAAGTAGCACATGCTCTTTAAATATTAGGAAGGTCATCTGTCAGTTTTCTGTTAAAGAAATACAGAAACCAGGCACACTCTGAGCGTGGGAGGCTGGCAACATGAAGAGCAGTCTAGAGGGAGGAGTGAGAAGCTGTGAATAGGCTTGATAACAGTTTTTCCCACTCCACAAGGGGCCACAGGTTGGTTCCATATTAGTTTCCTATTACTGCTGTAAAAAATTAACACAAACTGAGTGCTCAGAGCGGCACAAACACCCAGGCTACTCTTGGAGGGTGAGGTAGGAAGATTGTGAGTTTGAGCCCAGTCTCGGCAACTTAGCCATTTAACAAGACCCTGTCTTAAAAAAATAAAAAGCCTGTAGCTCAGTGTGAAAGCTCTGAGTCCAATTCCCAGGACCTCAAAAAAAAAAACAAAACAAAAACACAGTACACATTTATGCAGGAACAGCTCTGGAAGGAGTCCAAAATCCATTTCTCTGGGTTAAGATTAAAATATCAGCAGGTTTGTTTCCTTCTAGAGGCTCTGAGAGAAGAACCTGTTCTTTGTATTCCTTGGTTTGTGTCCTCTTCCTCCCTCTTCAAAGACACCACTCCTGTTCCTGTTGCCCCACATTCCTTCTCCTCATCTGCAGCACTGTCCCCTTCTTTCCTAAGGACACTTGTAATCACATCCCTGAACCCACTGAATGACTCCAGATGGCCTCTTCATCTCCAATCCCCATTGTCACATCTACAAGGTCCCTTCTGACATACACGGCAGCAGCATGTTCACAGGGCGCCAGAGTTAGGATGTGTCTGTCGGAGGAGGTTTTAGCCGCCCACAGAGGAGGAGCCTGTCTTGAAGAGGCAGCTGTTCTGGCTCGGAGTAGGCACACACTGGAGGAGGTCGATGGCAGAGGCAAGTTTAAGGGCAGGATGGGACAAGCATCCATGAGGAGAGAGAGAAAAGTCATTCTTAGCCTCAGCAATGGGAGGAGAAGCATGGTAGGCAGAGGAGTAGTTGGCTGTTTGGTGTGGCAAGAGCAAGGCCTAGAACAGAGCCCTAATCAGAACTGGGATGTGGCCACGTTCCAGAAGTATGGACATACTGATCTGGAGTCATTGAAGTTAATCCTCAGAATGAAGGGGAAAGGGTCCTCCACGAAGTTCTTACCCCTCTCCCCTAGGGCATAAATCTAACAACGGTTCACGGTATGCTAAGGAGACCCCAAAAAAAACCAGGGTCAATCAACAGAAAGAACTCAGGCTGAGCCCCCCAACCCAATGAGCAGCCTTAGAATCACAACATCACTGTTTCTACAAAGATCATGTCCAAAAGGCAGAGGTAGTCCTGGGCTCAGAGAGCCCTAGTGTGGCCACAGTGAACACAGTGGGACTTAGCCTCAAGGGTGGCCTGGAGCTTCCCCGTACTATGCTTTCCAGATGAGTCTCACAGTACTCCTTGTGGGGGTGGCCCGAGGTGTACAGAGAGCACCAGAGTGGGCGGGAGCAGGCCCCAAGAAGGCAGCCACCGTGCTGCACCGCCCCCCCAGGGCCACACTGTGCCCACGGGTCACCTCAGAACTTCTGCCTCTGCCTTGGGACAGGTTCTTCCAGGCCAGGTCAAAGCTGAAAGGACAATTGAGATTCTCTCACTGTATCTCCAGAGAAGGAAAGTTAATGATGAAAAGGCCACACAGAGACACAAGGCACAGACAGCCCAAATTAGCTTGGCAGATTTCCCAGAATAACAACCAGAGGGAGTTCGTGGAGGAGGGGGACAGAGTTCTAGTCAATAGGAACAACTCAGGCACCAAGTAGGTGCCTTGCCAGAGCCTAGCCCTGATGTGCAAAGCTCTCCAGTGAGAGCCAGCAGCAGCCAGGGTTCCTTGTACATGTTTAATTTTGTAAGGGTGGTGCTTCTTCTTTCTTTGCCCTGGATGCCCTCCTCTGGCCTTTCTCACCCCTACCCCAACACCTACGCAACCTCCAGACCTCTCAAGTGCTCCTCCTCCTCACAGACTTCTCTGGTTTCACCCCTGTCCTTAACTTGCTCCTCTGAGATCCAGGGACCCTTCGGTTGTGCTGAGTCATTTGCTCTATAATATCAGCTTCACATAAGGTCATGTGTGAAAGTCTCCTTTTTTCTGCCACGTATGATGCCACTTGGCCCATCTCCTGGGCAAAGATGTGTCTCTGGGTTGGGCAGCATTCCCTATGGTCCTGTTTCTTATAGTTCCTGCCCTGTAGCTGCGAGCACTCTCCACACTAGGTTATTCTACTCTCACAATCATCATGGGGAGTGAGTGTTATTGCTAATTAACAGACGAGGACAGTGAGGTTTAGGAAGCTCGTGGCAGAGGCTGAATACACTTCAACTCGCTTGATCCACAGATAATAAACGTTCTCACCCGCTTTGCAGAGAAGGAAACAGCTCCCAGCTCCGTCTGTATCTGGTGCAGCTGCTATGCATAGCACTCTCCATGCTGTATGTCATCTGTCCTCTGACGTCACACTCACTGACTTGCCAGGGAACTTTGAAAGGACCTGAACAAGGACTGACACCTTCTGAATTAATAAATGTTGGATACATGAAGAATAAATGAGAGAAATAGCGGAAGAAGGGAAATCAGGGCACAGGTTTTTCAAGACTCACATACTATGTTTTCACTACACGCCCCTTTCTTTCCAACCCCTGTGTAACAAGACTTTATCAAAAAATAAGTAATCCCCATTCTACTCTCCTCTGGTAAAACAGATTTAATGACCATCAATCAATTGATTGAAATATAGACTATATGAAGGACCACTTTAAAGCCAACAGCCCCCCCCCCATCTCTGTTGTGTAGACGAAGGCTGGGCTCCTCCAGAGCATGGCAACTTCAAGGAGCAAGCCAAGGCAAGCTGTAACTAACCATCTTTAAAACCAAATGGAGATTTTTATCTCATCCCTAGCTTTGCTTCTTCACAGGTCACAGCTTCTGGAATGGGACCTTTAAAGAACACCCTCCCTTTGATGTGCCAGATGCCAATGGCAACTTCCTTCCCCCAGCCCTTGGGGGCTTCTACATATTCCTCACAATGATCATCCTGCTCCAGGTAGGAAGCCTCCCTAATCCCAACAACTCTGGAAAATAAGAAGTCAATGCTGGCCCCAAGAAAGAAGTAACTGGACTTAGATGAGGAGAGAGATGGTTACTGATTTCTTGGGGGTCTTTGAAAGTATTTACATTGGGGGTTCCCCTGCCTTGGGACAAGAACCTGGCCCTGCAGATAATAGCTGAAGGAAAATGTTGACCAAGCTTTGCTATTTAAGAGTGAGTTTACACCTGTGACCCAGTGTGCTGGACACTGATGACCGAGGATCAAAAGAAGATGAAGCAGCACAGACAGCTACAGAGAACCCTCCAGCCCCAAGCACTGAGAGACAGTAAAAACAACTTAGCATTTTATCATTTGATCCTTTGACACCAAAAAGAACAGAAGAAAAATAGAGAACCAATAGAGAACACCAACAGAATATGTGGGACAAAGTGATAGATTTTTTTTAAATCTTCATGCTCCGTAAGAAAATACAGAAGCCTCTGAGAAGATGAGAGTAGTTGTAGTTTGGCTTTGATGAGGTTCCATCTATGTTAAATTTCTTGTAGTAGTTGAATGCGTTCCATTGTTCTCTTAAATATTAGACATTTTCAAGCATTCACTTATGCATCTGGCTAAGTAATTATTTTTAAAAGTCAGAGCCTATCTGGCCTCTGCAAAGAATAGTTTCCTGCCTGCTCAAAATGAAATCCAAAGTTCCTGACCACAGCCAACAAGGCCCTAAGAGTTCTGGACTTTGACCTGACCCTGACTCCACCTGCTACCACTCTCCTCCTCCTCACTCAGGTACAAGATTTTCTCACTGTTCCTGGCTCCCAGATGCCCAGGCCAGCCCCACTGCCAAGAACTCACTGCCCACAGATAAGCTCATAACTCACACCCTCCTTTCTTCAGTCCCTGCTCAAAGGTCATGGTTTATAAAAAGAGTCCCTCCCACCCATCACTCTCCGCCCTCTTTGTGTTTCTTTATTCTCCTTCATGAGGCTTACCACCATCCCATATGTATTTGTTTACTATCACTGGAATGAATGTGAATTCTTTGAGTCCAGGGATTTTGTTTGGATGACTCCTATTTCCAAGAGTTAAAACAGTATCCAAGACAAAGAAAGCACCGGAAAATATTAGGCATTGGATTAGTGGATAATAATCAACAGTGGATGGTGACACTCTGTGGCATAGAGATCTGGGGGGATGGAGGGGAACCCTGGGCAGAGGCCCTAAAGCTCCCTCATTGAACATAACATACATATTACCAGTGGTGAGTACCTATTGCATCCAGACATCCTAAATTGAAGGGCATCTCTCTTTCAGTTTCACCCTAAGAATTCCAAGGGAGGCATGAAGTCATTGACATTTAATATCTCAGAAAGAGTACTTCCTTTGAACCGATCTCAGCTTTCAGTTAAATGCTTTTGCTACCTATAAGTGAGGGTCCAGAAGCAGGGAACTCACCTGGTTTCTGATGCAGTGGTATCTATCTCCTCTCAGGTGCTGATCCCCATCTCTTTGTATGTGTCTATTGAGCTGGTAAAGCTCGGCCAAGTGTTCTTTCTGCACAATGACCTTGACCTGTATGATGAAGAGTCTGATATGCCCATGCAGTGTCGAGCCCTCAACATCACAGAGGACCTGGGCCAGATCCAATACATCTTCTCGGACAAAACGGGAACCCTGACAGAGAACAAGATGGTCTTCCGACGTTGCACCATCGTGGGCAGCGAGTATTGTCACCAAGAAAATGGTACAAGGGCTCCGTGCACCTCCATCCCTATCTGTAGAAAGAAAATACCCTCTTTTCCTAAAAGAAGAGAAAAAAGACTACTTTACTCCCCTGACAGGCTATGAGGCCTTTTGTCAAGTTACTTCCTGTAAATCCATGATCTTCCTTGTCACAGAACAGTGCTGTTCTTACTACCTCTAAGCTTTCACTGGTTCCCAGAGGTTTTTAATAGTAACCCTATATGTGGTACCCATTTACAACAAAAGATTTTTATGCCAGGACTGGACTGGGGATAATTGTGCACCAGTTTCATAACCATAGTTTAGGAATTTCACGGGTCACCTAACCTGACAGGTCAGGATGGGTCTAGATCTAGGCACTTGGTCAGATTTACACATCTAGAAAATACCTTCCATGCTAACTGATGTCTTAGATTTTTCACTTAGGCAACATTTTGATCTAGGAGATAGGTCTGTAAGATGCCTGGACTGTTACATGAATTGAAAGTTGCCCAGAAAACTCACTTGATTCCTTCAGACACCCTCCCCTCCACACACACACAGAGAGGGAGGGAGGAAGGGGGAGAGAGGGCAGAGGGAGACACTCAGAAGAGCATCCATTCTTTTGGCTAAAAGATGGGGAGTAGAGAAAGGAGGAGATATTATACGCAGCCCTGTCCCCTTTGCCATGGTGATAATTCACCATCTATGTGGGAGCTTCTGATCTCCTTCTAATAATAACACCTTCTATTACCAGTACTTAGAGTAAGCTAATCACTTTCACACATTATATCATTAAATCATCAAAACAATCCTATGAGTTAGGTATTTTTTAATACTTTGAGGAAACAGACCCAGGTTAAGTCACAGCTCAAAGTCCCATAACTAGATGGTCATAGGGCCAGGATTTGAACTTGTAGGACTGATTTGCATCCCCCTTTCTCCAGTCTTGGTAGCCTAGTTGCCAGTTTTCCACAGCAGCATAGATTCTTCCTAGGCTCTTTACCCCTACCCTCAAAGTCTAGCGTCTTCCTAACCATGGTCCCACCCAGGTATAACAATGCTTTTCTTGCAGCCAAGCGACTGGAGACCCCAAAGGAGTTGGACTCAGACAGTGAAGGGTGGACCCAGTACCAATGCCTGTCATTCCCAGCGAGATGGGCCCAGGGGCCAGCAACAATGAGAAGTCAAGGAGGTACCCAGCCTCTGAGGAGGTGTCACAGTGCCCGGGTGCCCATGCAGGGTCACTCCCGACAAAGGTCTGTAGGGCGCTGGGAAACCTCACAGCCTCCTGTGGCCTTCAGCAGCTCCATAGTAAGTCTCTGTCTCTCCACTTTGAATTGCAAGTATCTTATTGTGGGTGGACGAGGGAGAGGAAGCTGGGATAGGGAAAAGACTATAGAAACTCTGAGCTCTCCAGATGGTGGGTTATGGTCTCATGTGAAGTCCACTCAACTGTTGTGTCGCCATAGGCAGTTCCCAGCCTTTCAAATATCCCAGATTAGAAATTGGGAGAGTTCGTCACAACATACCAATTTCTTGCTTTTCTTTTTAAAATGGAATTGAAAAAATTCTCCACACTCAGCCAGTGTTTCCTTATGGCAATAACTGGCTTGAGTTAAGGAGTTCATATCACTTAGACCAGGTACCAAATCTTCACTTCGTCACAGCCTTCCTCTGTTCTCTGTTCATCCCCTTATGGAGCTGAAAGCCAGCAGCATTCCCATTATGTACGTTTTTCCAATTATACGGTTAGGAGAAACAAAAATAATTGTTATGCCCCTGTCTTTATCACATGGGGAAAAAATGTAATAATGATGTAAGGCTTAGTGCGTTTACAGAAAAATGAAATGATTTATTTTATGAAGCAAAAAAAAAATCTATGTCAGAATTACCCCACCCACTTCATCCTCTCAGGTTAATGCCTGGCCCCAGTGAGCATTCAAGTTCCTGCATCTGGGATGGGGCTTTGTGCACAGGGTCCCTTCTTATTTTATCCCTTAGATCAGTAAACAGCCAGGTAGCAAATGAAGGCACTGAGCTCCTCCCCCTAGACTGACAGCACTCCCTAGAAGTCAATACCAGTACCAAGGCCGTCTGATTCCTCTCCTAATCCTCTTTGGTCTGAACATACTCTTTCTCCAGGGAGCATTAAAACACATCATCTGGAATCTTCTGCACTTAGAAAATGCCACAGGGAGCACTAGAAGAGATCCTGGCTAACCAATGGTCTCTGAAGTGCTATTATCCCATTATTAGAATATTACATTTTTAAAATGAACCTTTTCATCCTTTTTCCCACGATACACATATAACTACATATATTTAACATTTTTTGGCAGTCATGGTAGGTAGCAATTGTAAATGCCAAAGTTTTTATTCCTAACATGATATCCAAAGTATTTTCCAGATCGCCATCCAGTTTTCATAACCCAGGACTGTGTTTCCTAACTGTGATGAAGAAATCCTTTGAGACTGTGTTTGTAGTTACTCATCTAACTTTGGGTACTCAGTTACTTCTCAGTATTATCGTCAAGTGCAGAAGCACAGCATTAGCAAAGATGACACGAGAACAGTTTGTTAAGGGAAGTGATCCATAGCTGCCTCTGGGAAGATTGTTGTTGGGTGGTTTTATTTCTTTAATTTTCCCTACTGCTATAAAAACAAGACACACACTGTCATATTTCTCTCTTCTTTAATTCTGCCCTCTGAATGGAATGCTTTCCCCTCAGCAATTTACCCAAATATTTTTTAAATAAATTAACAGCATTCTCATTAAAGATTTTATGTATCTTTTGGTACCTTCTAGTTATAGGTACCATTAGCATCTAAGGTGCAAGAAAAGGAAACACTTTTTTTCTTGAGATCACAGCAGCCCTGAACCAGGAAGTAGAAATGTGATGCAGGGCCCTGAGTTGATGTCAGTGGGAGGGACGAGCTAACCTCTGAGCTCTCTCTAGATCTGGGGCATCAATCTTCTGCCTGGCTGACAGTTTCAAAAGCAAGCTCTAAGTTCATTCAGGAGCAATAAGAAAACTGACACATGGATTAAGACTCAATTTTCATAGCCTGGACAAGTGAGGATGGTGACACGTCCTCCTCACAAATAGCCAAACTTACTGTTGTGTAGTCAGGTTGCTTGGCAATCTGGGTTTAGTGGTATGATAGCATCCTTGAGTGTTTGTTTAGGAGCAGACTGGGCTAAAAGTCAGGAGATGTAGATTCTGGTTTTAGCTCTGTGTCTGGCTTGTTATATAACCTCAAACAAAATGGTAAACCTCTTTATTCCCTTTTCATCTTCTGAAAATACTTGAAGTTCTCACCAGGCTGTTTTAAAAATCAGATCACACAAAGTGCTAGCATACAAGATCCCTTCTACCTGGGAATCAGTGCATTTAGCTCAGCTGCACCATGAGTTGGCTTCATGACTCTGGTCAACTGATTGAATTGGAAGCCTCAATTTCCTCATCATTATAGCAAGGATAATTGTTCTGGCTCAGGAGTTTATTTTGAGGATTTAATTCTTAAAGTTATATTTTGTAGACAGATAATGAATAGTGGTTTTAAATAATCTTTCTAAAGGGAAGCTGACTGCCTTGGACAAATGTTTGTATATCTAATATCATGGAGGAAAAATGTCAAGTTTTCATAAAGTACAATGGTAGAGCTGTCTCACCTACTGAGACTCTGGTATTTGGGGTCTAGAGTGGGGTAAGAACATTTGTATTTCTATTTCTGATGATTCTAGTGAGCAGCCAAGACTGAGAGCCTCTCTAAGCCGACCATCGGCCTTCCAGAAAATAGTCTTCATGTGGCTCACACAGGTACACACACAGCTCTGGAGGCCTTTGTGGAGGAGGCCGATTTAGGCTGTCTTCTCACATCGACCTGAGAAATACGTCCAGCTGCAGTCAGGTCCTTGAAGTGGTCTTGGGAGGCTTCTTTGCAGTCCCTAGTGGGTCCCTGGGTGCCCGCCCCACACAGGGTGGCAGGCTCTGTGTTGGCTCCTCTTCCACCTGCCCATCTGGCATCCAGTCTGGCCTGATAATCTCTCAGAACCACCTGTCCTCTACCTTCCCTTCATGACCTGAGTCAGAATGTACTTCTGAAACCTCTAGGGCACCAGGTTTCACAATACATATCCCACCAGTTTCTCAAGAAGCTAAATGTCAGTTTCCCTGGTCCTTCGGTCTGAACCAAAAAAACAAAGATCAACAGTAACAACCACCACCAAAGTTTTTTTATAACTATAAAAGACAAGGAGGTATTAGTGATTATCTCCTAATTGCTTGCTATAAAAACTATAGCTTGGGGCTTTCAGCTCTGAAGCCCCCTACCACTTTATGGTAGCTGTCTATCCTCTCTTTTCCATCTCCTCCCCTCAGAAAAAAACTATTATGCTAAAAAAATTAAAACTGTGGCTTTAAGGTGGGTAATATACTTATAAAAATTGTGAGTTCTGAGCCAATGTTTAACAGTGCTGTCAGATGGAAGATGAAATGCCTTTTTCCCCCTGGTTTATAAGCAGCCAAGATCTGAGCAGAGAGTCCTTGTTTAGAAGGGCCACTTGCAGAATGTTTTCCAGGACCATAGACCAAAGTCTGCCTCATTAATCAGGAAAGTTGCAGTCAGGCTGGGTTGGCCCCTCTGAGGTTCACCACCCCCACCCAGCCCTTGGTAGAGAATGCCATGGCCGAAATGAAGGAGGTGTCACTGGCTCTCTGCCTCCTTTCCTTAATCCTGGCCTTCCTTTTATTCTTTGGAAAAGAATCACATAGCTCTCCCAGACTGGTGGGGCAGTCCACATATACACACTCTCATTGTAAGGTTAGATAAAAGTCCCATTTGATTAGCAGCACACAAATCTCTCTGGGAGTGATATGATGACACGAGGCAGGGGCAGAACAAACGAAGCCTCTTGGGGTGCTTCCCTTGGCCCCCAGGGTCCCAAATGAGAGGGTGGCACATAGCCACAGTGCCATTGTTCATAAGAGTCTGGGTCTGGCAAGACGGACAACCCACTGAGAATTTTCCTTGGAGTTATTTCCCACTTGGGAAAAGCTTGCCCTAATAATCCATGGGCCATTTAAGCCACCATGTGCTAACACTGGGTTTCCCAGTTCTTTATCCAAACTATCCCCACTTCGGCCAGGGCACAAACATCACCGCCCTGAACCTTTCAGCTTTCACCCCCCTAGCAATCAGGACAGTCTATTTCCATGATATAACATGACCATGTGATTAAGTATTAAAAGAGAATCTAAGGCCTTGTGGTAGAAGTGTGTCTCTCTCCTCCGTTCCTCACAATCCCAGAGATGAGCATTAGCAGCAGGCTCCTAAAGCGCACATGTGATGTACACATAAATTCATCCTTTTCCCAGATGAATGCATATCATACAAAGTGCCAAACTTTGCTTTATTAAAACTTTAATCTTGGAAAATATTTCCTATGTGTAGACTGACAGGCAGAGACAGTAGACAGCTGCCGCATTTTTTTGGTGGCTGTTAGAATTTGTTGAATGGTTGAACCACCATGTGCTTATACATGTGTGGGAATTTTTCACAGTATTAGTTCTGAGAGCGTAAATTGCTAAATTGCAAAGCATATGCGTTTTTTAATTTTGGTCAATTCTTTCCAAAATGCCATACCTGTTGAGACATCCTCCAACAGCAAATTGAAGGATCTGTTTCCCGCCACCTCTGCCAATTCTATGTATGGCCAGTTGTCTGCATTTCTTCAGGACAGCCTTCCATGTGCTTGGTCAGTCAACAACCATTCAGTAAACATCCAAACATTCTGCTAGCCAGCAGAAATATAATGGCCAATAAGGCATTGCCACCAATTTCTGGACCTTACAGCCCAATTAAAAAGCACCAGTAACCACAGAACGGTGCTGGAACAGTGGACGCAGCTGTGCTGTAAGAGCTCAGCAGAGGTGCAGATGCATCATACTGGAGGCAGCAGGGAGACAAGATTAAAAGTGAACCAGAGGAAGGAAGAGACCTTCTAGTGGGAAGGGAATGGAGAGCATGGCTTGTTGCAGGAGGAGACAGTCTGTGCAAGCAAGATGCAGAAGTGGGGTTCATAGGAGTATATGGAATAAAAGATGCAAGTCTGGAAGAGTTGAAAGAGTTGAAGAAGAAGCTGGAGACATAGGAGGAACCATGTCTCAAAGGTGCCAATATCATTTATTTCTACCATAGGCTGTGGGTTCCTATAGTGACAAGATGCTGCATTCCATCAGTAACTTATCATTAAGACTGAGGGGAGCAGAACAGAGTGGAGTTTGGCCTCCTTTCCCAGCCCTCAGTGTGGGAACACATCCCAGCCAGGAAAGAAATGACACCAACAGGGCAGCCTGATGGCACAGAACCCTGCTCCTCAAAATGTGGGGCTCAGTCCAGTAACACAAGCCCCACCTGTGAGCTTGTTACAAATGCAGACATTCACCCCCCACACCCCATAGCTGCTGAATTAGAATGTACATTTTGATAAGGTCCGCAGTGGGTTTGTATGCACATTGAAGTGGGGGGCATGATGGCTTTGTGTTTAAGGGTTCCAGCCCTGGCAGCAGGCAGAACTAGATTCAACTCCTAGCACACTATTTGTGATTTTTGACCTTGAACAAATACTTAACTTCAGTGTGCATCATTAGCCTTGTAATTAAAATGGGAGAATGACAGTAACTGTATGCACACTTTATGATCAGGTGATGATGTCCACACTTCAGGTGTAAGTGTGGGCTCTGGAAGTGCTCCCCAAATGAGATGTGGTTCTTGACGAGGGTTCTACTTCTGTGGAGTACATACATCTAGGTTCCTCTCTGTGACTCTCACCTGCATCAGCATCTCCCAAGAAGAATAGAATCAGACTTCTGGAATCGCTGCATTTGGTAGTTAGAAAGGACAGTCTGAGGACACTGACCATTGGGTTTTTTTTTTTTTTTTTAGGATCTCAACTTGGGTTCTTATTTGTAATTCATTGGACCCCAGTCTTCCCCTTCTTTAACCAGTTAACATATCAAGAATCTCTCAATCTATTCTTTTCAACCATTACCTCTTCTCAACTTTAATTTAGCTGGAAACTCTGAAAGCAGATAGGAGTGGTCTTATGTAGGAGCTTCTTTGTACAATGAATTTGTTATATCTATCTAGTGACAGCAGGTATTTGTTGAAGCTCTACTTCAAATAAAGCTGCAGTTAGAGCTTTAGAGAATATAACTCATGGAAATCTAGATATCTTTGAAGTTCTAACTTTATCTCTAGAGAAATTAAACATGGACATAAAAATATGAATTTAAAATGGTTCATGTAAAGATGGCAGCAGAGAAGTAGACAAAGCTGGATATGGTCGCTGCCACAACCACCACCACCTCCATCCCATCACCTCTGGCTCTTACCAGAGTGAAAACATCCTGGCCTCCGATCTTGAGGGAAGGGGATCAGGGAATGAGGGAAATGAGGAGGAAGGGAGGAAGGAAGGAAGAAAAAGAGAGATCAATATGCAGTGAATTTCAAAGGGATGGTTCAAGGGGCAACTTCTACAAAGATGTGAAGAATTGGAAAGAGTGAGTCAGATCCAGCCTAGAGAGTAAAAAAAGAAAAAAAGAAAAAAATAGGTCACATATCATCTTTGTCTTATCCTGAGAAGTCATGAGACTTGATAAAGTGGCCCAGGATTGGAGCATTTCACTAGGCAAAGCCTGCACTACTCTTAAGATCTGCATGACCCGTCAGATCCACAGCTCCCACCTCCCACAATGTCCTCATCTTTGTCTCCACCCACTTCCTCCACTTATCTTGCATGTCTGGTGCCTGTGAATGCTCTTAAATTCAAGAACTTGCTATTGTGGTTCAGAAGAAAGGGAATTCATTGTGAGCTGGATAAAACCTCAAGGTCAGGTGGGAATTCTCATGGCTACTGATATCTAGGTAAGATTTTGATGACTAGGAGAGAATTTTTCAACCAAAATGTAATGAGAAGCATAAAGTGTGTACATCCAGAAGGCAGCAAAAATACTACCAGAGTGAGCTGAGGGTCCGCATTGAAAAGTGGTCAAAAGTGGAAATGTAACGTGTGAAAGAACCTAAATGCTAGATGAATTGATCATTTTAACAGTAGAAATCTGAAGATTTTTTTTTTAAGTCAAAAGCACCATGAGGAAAATGGAGTCTTAGGAAGACCACACAGGTCATACATATGAAGAAAGAAAAGCAGTAAGAGCCAGCAACCTTGGTTTAGAGATGAGTTCAGAAACCCAAGATTGAGGGCTGGAGGGTCTGAGCTTGTCTAGAAGCAGGTAGAATGGGGAACAGATGGTGAAGAAAAATGGAGAGAAGAACTCCTAGGGCCTGATAACTGATAGATATGTGGACCTGATTGATAAGCAGGAATCAAATAAGAATCATCAATGTTCCAGGCCTGTGGGAAGGGAAATGTGCCAGATGCAAGACTGTAGTGAAGACTGTGGGATCCTTTCCCCCAGAAATATCAAAAATCTGCTGGAGGGGGCCTCCCTTCCCAGTCCCTTCAGACTCACTCAGCTTTCTCTTTCTCACTCTTTCTCTTCCAGGAAAAAGATGTGACTCCAGATAAAAACCTACTGACCAAGGTGCGAGACGCTGCCCTGTGGCTAGAGACCTTGTCAGATACCAAACCTACCAAGCCTTCCCACTCCACCACCTCGTCCATTGCTGACTTTTTCCTTGCCCTAGCAATCTGCAACTCTGTCATGGTGTCCACAACTACCAAGCCAAGACAGAGGGTAAGGACCACTGATGCTTGGAGGTGGAGGGGAGAGACCCTGATGAGAGAAACATGACACTGGAGTCCTAGCCAAAATATCACCATTTCATCACTATGAGGCCTTGGAAGGGTATCTTATCCTTTTAAGGTCTATTTCCTCATTTTCAGATAAAATGGAAAAGTTATATGAGAGCTCTCTGTGCAATTTCCCAACCTTGTCTCTCTGCCTGCAGGGTAGATACTAAGAGCTAGTGTTTCCTGAGCACTTGGCTATGTTCCAGTCCCCATGCTAAACACTTCACTGCATTATCATTTAATCCTCACAACCCCAAAACTCAAATATATCTTTGGATATAGCTAGTGAAGAAATAATGAGACTGAAAACTTGAATAACTTAGTGCAAGAAGTATGGTTAACACATGGTAGAATCCATAATGGATCCTAATAATATCATGTTAAATTTGCCGCTGCCTTTATATAGGGATGAAAAAATAATTTACATTATATGTGATGTTATTTCCATGGAAATAACGTAGGTAGATGGCCATTTATGTAAATGTATACTTTGAAGGCTACTAAAGGTAGATTTGTCTTCAACTATCCACAAACTCTCAGCCAAGCTCCCTTGTGAGTCACTGATGAGAATAATTAGGTAGTACAGCCTGTGGCTATAAAACAAGAAAAGAGAGTTCACTCGGGCACTCAACCACAGCCTCCCCTTCTTATGCCCAGTTTTGAAACCACCCTGAAAAGTCACTTCAGGCATAGAAAGGTCATCAAGTAATTATAACTTTTCAGGAAGATTAGGGCGACAGGGAGCATTTTCTGAGAAGCTAACTTTATTTTTGAGAGGGGAAGAAGTATCATTTTAGAAAAGATAGCCTCCAACTCTCAGTTTTCCAAAGTTAATGAGGGAGCTTAAGCTGGAGGATTGCTCAAGAGTCCAAACTCTGGAGTTGGGCAGACCCAGTTCTGACTTCTAACTTTGCTGCCTGTACACTGCGTGATAACAGCTGATTGGTTTAACCTCTTGGTGCTTCAGCCAAGTTTCCCTTAAGGATGATTGAGGGAATACAAACTCTGAGTGAAGTCTGATTTTTGCCTCATCATCTTTTCTTTGGCCGTGACCAGAGTGGGATGCTCAAAAAGTAGAGGGAAATGAGCACTGTCAACCCCTAGAATGTCAGACCTAGAAGGAAATATCTTAGCTAACTCCCTCATTTTATGGGTAGTTAAGGCCCACAGAGGAGACGTGCCCTGATCACAGAAGCCCTGGATATTCCACTTACTGCACAATTGCTTTCATATTCTGCAAAATTATCTCCAAATTTTAGAGTAACATTCTGCTTTCCTCCTTTGACCATAGGTCACCGTCCCACCCTCCACCAAGGTCCTGGGGACGTCCCTGGAGAAGATCCAGCAGCTCTTCCAGAGGCTGAAGCTACTGAGCCTCAGCCAGTCATTCTCATCCACTGCACCATCTGACACAGACCTGGGGGAGAGTTTGGGAGCCAACGGACCCACCACGGACTCGGATGAGAAGGAAGATGCATCTGTGTCCAGTGGTGACTACTCCACGGATGGTGGTTACAGGAGCAGCACATGGGACCAGGGCAACATCCTGGGGTCTGGGTCGGGTGCTTCCTTGGAGGTATTGGAGGCCCCAGACCTAGGCCTGGTTACACCTGAGCTCTGCTACGAGGCTGAGAGCCCTGACGAGGCAGCCCTGGTGCATGCTGCCCACGCCTACAGCTTCACGCTGGTGTCCCGGACCCCCGAGCAGGTGACCGTGCGCCTGCCCCAGGGCAGCTGCCTCACCTTTGACCTCCTCTTCACCCTGGGCTTTGACTCTGTCAGAAAGAGAATGTCCGTGGTGGTGAGGCACCCTCTGACCCAGGAGATCATCGTCTACACCAAGGGGGCTGACTCGGTCATCATGGACCTGCTGGAAGACCCTGCCTGCGGTGAGTCCATCCTCACAGGGCTCCAGGAAGAGGGCTGTATAGTTTGAGGGTCAATGTGGAATGGTAATGAGCTCAAGTTAAGGTGATACCAGGTCCCACCTGGAACACAGGCTCACAAGGTACTTTCAAAGCGAGATCCTTACAGTGTGCTGCATTTTACAACACTATGACCTGAGGAAATACAATGCTCATGAGCATATGAAGGGTGCTGTACAGTCTTCTTTAACTTTACTTATCCCAGTTTCCACTTTCCCAAGCTCATTTAAACATGAGCTCGCACAATTTCTGGCACCAGTAACAATACTCTAGAACACACCGTAGCCCTGACTCTTCACTGTGGACAGCAGCCGACTCAAGCCAGAAAGAGCAGTGCCTTATAGTATAGTTCATTTGATGTTAAATCCTAGGCCTAGATATCCTGAATCCCAGTGCAATGCCCATTTTTGCTGCCACAGTTCTACACTGGGCTTGGTTCACTCTGGGAAGCTCAAGTGTCCCTCTTTATCAACCTTTTCCCCAGCCTCCCCTAGATGAATTTTCATAAACTTGCATTGAGCCAGAAAAATGTTCCAAAGTCCCTACATATCAGTGTCCAATTTTGGAGCGGCATGAATTAGTGTGCAGCCGCATCCTGATTGCTAGCCAGGAGAAGACAGTTATGGGGCTATGATTCTCCCAGGATAGCAGATTCTCGCCAAGCTTTAGAATTGCCCGGGCAGCCCTGTGCCTCCTGCATTATCAGCTGTGGAGCAGAGCCAAGAGGTTCATGGGGATTGATTAGTGTTAAGAATAGGAAGGGAGCTAATTAGTTCTCTTCATCCCCAGACTCTGGCAGACAAGTGAATTCAGTGCTTCTGAGTCAAAGGAGCCACAGTAGTCTATCTCTGGGCGACAGCCATCCAAGTGGCCCTGGAGGTGCTTATTTCCTCACCTGATTGCAAAATGAACTGGAGATGCTTCCAATACAAGACACATACACAGTGTTACCATAACAACCAAGAAGCAAAATTGTAAAAAATGGGAAAAATAACCCTGAGGTTAATATTCTTACAGTGTTTGAACATTCAGTTTGACTCTGGGGGTCCCTGGCAGCCTGAGCAAAAAGGTAAACTCAAAGACTCACAAGCAGAAGACAAAAGAGTTTAGAAAATACAAAAGTGGAATAGGCCAAGGATTTAGCTCAGTAGTGCCACACCTGCCTCACAAGCGCAAGGTCCTGAGTTTGATCCCCAGTACCCCCCAAAAAACATACAAAACTGAATAATGCTTAAGGTACCTGAAAGATAATATTTGAAAAGTTTTTGGCATTGTCTAAAAACAGTCTTAGAGTAGTACTTGAGAGAAAAATTAGTTTGTTGGACTTCCTTGTGATTGTCCACTGTTAAGAATTAAATTTGTGATTTTTCATTGTAGGCAGAAGTGTGTGAGATGTACAAATTCTGTTTACTACTTAGGACCTGTAAAAAGTCTCAGTCCAGCACTGCTAAGGCAGGATTCTGAAGGCTTTTCCAAACTCAGAGTCACAGATGCTGCAATTGACAAGTGATGTCTGTGACACAGATAAGCCAACCCAGGCTTACAAAATTCTTATTACCTGAGAGATCAAAGTACTGGAATTTCAAGAGAACAAAACTAATTCTGAAAGAAATTTAGTGCACAAACTTAACCAAAAGGACTTAGTGACACACTGAAATATTTTTCACAGTAGAATTACAGGAAAGGCAAAATTATTATTTTTTTCTTAGACCATCTCTTGTGTAGAAAGAAACCCTAAGTCAGCAAACCCAAGATGGCAAAGAACATAGCTAATGAGGTCCAAATTTGTAGCTGTCTTGCATCCTAACTTGATACAAGAACTGAAGAAAATGACTGAGTGATGGAGAGTCTAAGCGAACAGTCTCCAAGTCAGTTGGCATCCAGGGCTGAGCCAGCAACACTGTAGCTGATAATAAAGATTCGAACCTCTGGTCCTCTCATTCAGCAAGGACTCAAATGAGACTTGAAAATCTCTATGATTTCAGTTCCCAGGTGATTTTCATACAAACACTTTTTTGAGAACCACACCTTGGACCACTTGCCTTTCTTAAACAGCACTTAGTCCAGCTAGGTTTTTGATGAGATGTTAAGAGAGGAGAATTTAAGAACCTCTGGAATTAGCCATCTTCCAGGGCAACCTGACAGCCAGGAGCACTCTTCTCTGTTCCCAGGGATGGCTGGAAGGCGATTCCTCCTCTAGAGCATTCCTCGTCTAATGGGAGGATCCAGACTATTGAGGATAGAGAGTCTTAAGCATTTATGGACATGGCCTCATAGGAAACAATGGTTATTTGACAGTGACTGACATTAACATGGAAAAGAAGATGAAGAGAATCCAAGCCCGAACCCAAAAACATCTGGACTTGTATGCAAGAGATGGCCTGCGCACTCTGTGCATCGCCAAGAAGGTGAGAGCAATTTCCTCCAAGCAGGTTTAGAATATTCTGAATGGCCTTAACTCTGCTGTAGGCCCTTCTTTTTCTTCATATAAGAGCCTTAATGTTGGTTGCTTTAAAACTTTTAAGATTAGTCATTCCAACTTGCCACAAAAATCCATGGCTTTGACAAGTTTCCTGGAGCAGAAATCTGAACAGTAAGATTTCATATCACTATGGCTTTTCATTGCATGTGTAAGGGAGAACCTATAACTAATAATTTTCAGTACTGTCATTTTTTTTCTTCAAAGCAGCCTTTTAAAATTTTTTATTCTTTGCTTGGATTCTTATTTGGGGGGCTTTATGTGATCATTTAAAAATCTAGATTTCTGGTTTCTCTAGAAAATCTAGAGGATTTGGAAAACTTGGTCTTCATGAAGTGGTGAGCAATTAGCTACAACCATGTAGCACTTGATTCCTTTCATGAGGGACACTGGATAAGCTCAGATATGTTCTGCTTCTGGCCACAGTCCCTACCACTCCTTTGGCCCAGCTAGAGTCATGTAAATTACCCACTTCACGCTTTGCACCTCCTGTGAAAGAGGCAGGAAAAAAGGGCCCTGAATTGCAAAGCAAAGGCATCTGATGAGAAATGTAACATCTAGTAGGAGTGCTGTGACGGGCATACATTTCTACATGGCTAAGAGTGATTTCTCCTCCATAAACTCCTATGGCTCTTGATCTCTCTTATGTCGCTTAGTGCAGAATAAGCATCGAGAGTACTCACTATAAAGCCAGACCCACCTGGGTGCAACTCCCATCTCTCACCACTTTTAGATGTGTGGTCTTGAGCATGTTCCTTTGCCTCTCTGAAGTTTTTTTTGGTAAAATTGTGCTTATGGTCCCTGCCTCATAAAAAAAAATAACCAAGATTACACAGGTACAGCCCCTGGGGCAGCAACAGGTGCTTACTACTGAATTCTAACACCCGTCGCACTTTCTATTTCCCATTAGATATTTGTGCCTATTTCCTCTGCCCCATCTCCCCAGGAGACTGTACAGTTCTCAAAGGCGAAAGGTACATGTGTCCCTTGGGTGTACCCTATAGTGTCATGCAGAGTGACTCAAGGAATATTTGGTACGGGACAAAAGACAGAATGTATATAAAGTTAACAGAAGGATCACAACCTGCCGTGAGACCACAGTGGGGAATAGAGATGGCACCTCCATGTGTGTGACACCATGCCTGGTGGAATGGTCTGAGGGCCATGCAAATACGGCTGCTTCTTTCCTTTCCATCTTCATTTCTGGCCTCCCTCCACCTTGCTTATAATCCTCCCACCAACGGATATATTCAAATAACAGAAAGAAGGCCAAGTTCATTGCTGTTTCACAGCCTTTGAGCTTGCTCTTCCCCATGACTGACCCTTTCTCATCATTGGATTTTAGCTTGTTCATCACCTGTTGAAGAGAACTAAACAGCCAAAGGAGAGCAGCCTCCTTCTCCGGTTACTCTCCTACCCCCTCCTACTCCACTATGTCATCCTTTTATTACCTGCATATTACTTCTTGAAATGATCTATTCTTTTTCTCACTTGGCTACTGTCTGTTACCCTCCACCAACTTATAAGCCTAGGGATCCAGGGACCTTGTCTATCTTGGTCATCTCCAGTGCCCTGAGCATGATAGGGATTCAACAGATGTTTGGTGATAATGCAACAGAAGGATCAATACTTCATTGATTTATGCATTCAAATCCCCATCTAGTCATGTAGTAAAGTTCAAACAGCCCCATGAGACCTGGCAGATGGGGAACAAAGAGGGATTCTGCTAATAACCTTCCCAAGGTTATTAATGAGCCTCTTCCTATCCTGTAGGTCATAAGTGAAGAAGACTTTCAGAGATGGGCCAATTTCCGGCACCAGGCTGAGGCATCCCTAGACAACCGCGATGAGCTTCTAATGGAGACAGCACAGCATCTGGAAAACCAACTCACCTTACTCGGTAACTAAAAATAAGTCATCCTTATAGGAAAAAAGAATGCTGTAAGTTACGAAGGAAGTTCTTGGCCCTAGTCTGACACTGCTACAAATTTGTCCCAATTAGCAGCCTTCCCTGAGTGCCCTTTTAGGAATTTGGCATAAACAAGCCATAACAATACTACCCATGCTTCCTGAAGATGCCCTCGGGGACAATCCCTGCACTCCCTGCTGGAAAAGCTCCTTCTCCAACAGCACATTGCTCTGCTCATTCAAATGTCTGCTGAACACCTATGTGCACAGCAGCATACTAGCTTTGGGGACTACAACAGGGAACAAGAGTCACAGACTCTGCCCTCCCAGAGCGCAGAGTCTAGCCAAGATGCCAGATGATTAAGCAAGGGATGAGAGCTGGGCTGGAGGATTTACGAGATGGAAGAGAAAGAGGTACCAATGTGGCCCTGGAGCCAAGGAGGGCCTAGGAAGCCATTAACTGAAAGGAGAAAGATAGGGAAACATATTCCAGGCAGAGAAAAACCCAAATGCAGGTCCAGAGGTGAGATCCTGCGCCAGATGGGAACACAGAGATCTGCTGTGACTGGACACACAGTGTGGGGGAGCACTGAGAGGAAGCAAGAGAGGTCAGTGGGACCCAGATTATAAAGGTCCATGTGAATCCTATGCTAAATGTCTGGAGGGGAGAAAGACATACTCGACAAAAATCACTGCTCCACAGAAGGTAGGGTGACATGCTAGGGAAGGATGAGAAACAGCGAGACTAATTAAGAGGCAGGTTGTGTTTCTGTTCAAGGAAAAGCACTGCAAAGGAGGAAAGGGGAGGCTTTGTTTATGAGCACTAAGCTCATACATTGGGAACCGAGCAAGGGCTTGGTAAGGCAACGCCCAGTAACATGCACTGGCCCACACAGTGAAAGCTTCCTTTCCTCTTGGGGAGCAGCGCTGGCCACAGGATGAAGGCCAGGTTCAAGCTCTGCCAGGACCTTGCTGTATACCCAGTAGCATGTCTCTGTACCCCTCTGAGCCTTAACTTCTCTTCTTCATGAGTCATACTCCTTGGGTGCCCAGTTAGGAAAAAGCCCAAGGGAAAAGACCCAAGGCCACTGTCAGATGGTGAATCCCATATATATTAAATACAAAAGGTAGCAACAGGATTTAGGAGGACAGCTGGCAAGGAGGGGAAGAACATTTTGCTCCTTACTCCCCTCCCCAGCTTTTTGTTTCCTGCATCTTGCCTGCAGAGACATTTGCTTGCTGTTCTATGAGGGCCCCTGTAAAGCTGGACATAAGAATCATTTTAACAATAGCCAGAGGGCAGTGAGGCCAGACAACAGTATCCACTACACAAGGCCACCCATTAGGGTGCCTGGTCCCCTTTCTCACCTCCGGAGGCTTCTTTGGTTTGGGGTGGCATTCTGGTCTTGGTTGGCAAGAAGCGTATCAGCTGGCTCTGGTGAAACAACTCACTTGGTATAATCTGCCAGCTCCCCCTGGCTGGGAAAGGCGTTCACAGCCTTCCTGTTTCATTTTCTCTTTTGCACAAATAAATGTGTTTTTCCTCCTTTCTACTTCACTCTGCCTCACTGTCATACAAATCGGCTTCAGAATCACCTCACAGGCTAATCCTAGAAGGGAGAGAGGAGATGCGATTCATCACTTTTCCTAGGGTTGTTTAGCTGGCATTTGGACCTGAAATGCAAACCAAGCACATGTGTGGACAGAGAGGTTCTATTTTTCTCCTGAAGGTGACTTGGGAAGGTGGCTTAGGAAAAGATTTCTCTTGCCACCAAGAAAGCTTCATTTTTTTCACACTGAGTTTCAAAATAAGAAATGATCTTTTCAGTATGCATCCAGTATAACTGCTTTGCCAACCCATTATCACTCTGGATTATTAAAAGAAACAAAATGCCTTGCTCCTGCCCAGAGTGAAATGGGCAGCCATTAGTCTATGGCCTGAAATGAATCTCATTTTAAATGCAGATTTATTTTTGCTTAATCACTTAGCAACTATTCAATATTTGGGTATATATTCATCAGAGTTGATGTAAAGCTTCAGATCATTCAAAATCGATCGCATCTGCATGTTTAATTCCAAGAATATTATAAAAAATATGAATCCCTATTAATTCTGCTGTGATCAGTTGCAGAGCACAGAGCTCAGGCTCTCCATTTCTTTCTCTTCTTGTTGCCACCATCAGCTCTCGTCTGCACCCTTCCTCCACTTCCTAAGTAGCTGTTAGCCCTGAATCTCATCCTGCTTCCTCCCATCTCTAATCTAGTTTTCAAAGTGATCTTCAAACACAAAACTGATCCTGTCCCTCTCCAACTTAGCACCTTTTAATAGCTTTCTTTGCTACCAAAGAAACTGCAAATCCCTCAAGGCTCTGCATGACCCAACAATCCTTCTCTCTCTCCCTGGCCTTGTCACTCACTCCACACTGCCTCCCATGCTGTGGTTTCTTCGCCTCTGACCTTTGGGCCTTCAGCTATGCTGATCTTTCTACCTGAGACTGTCTTCCTCCCTGCCTCACCTCTGCTAGCTCCTCCTGATCTAGACTTAAATGCCATTTCCTCTGCAAGCCCCTCCCTGACCAAGGTGAAGTTCAAGTTCCCTGGTATATATTCACATGGCACATGGCCATTTCTCACCATGTAGCTCAGTCATGCAGCCTTATTCCGGAACCTTGGGTGAGGCCTCAGGGAAGTTGAAAGCGTCAGTTATAACCTGTGCAAAACAGCTTCTCAGAAATGACTTTCCTAATGAGAAGGTACAATTCTTATCCTTATTCAGTGACCTTGGTATTCTGAGAGGGTAAAGACCAGCTCTCCCTAGTCCACAGTTGTATCCTGGGTACCTAGCACGGGGAAGGTATTTAATAAATATTGCCTGGATTCACAGGACTTTGGGGGAATTAAACAGCTACTCTTTCACCATAAATGTGAGCTCTGGTATCTCTGACTACTCCAGGGGCCACTGGGATTGAAGATCGGCTACAGGAAGGTGTTCCAGACACTATAGCTGCTCTACAAGAGGCTGGGATCCAGCTCTGGGTCTTGACTGGAGATAAGCAGGAGACAGCAGTCAATATCGCCTATTCCTGCAGACTCTTAAGTCAAACAGACACCGTTTACTCTCTTAATACAGAGAGTCAGGTGAGAACCACGCATTCAAGTACACAGCCAGCCCTTGGCCAACAAGAGATACACTGAGAGGGCTGGGATTGAAACATACGCCGAAAGCAGCCCTACCACTAAAATTTCACTGGATCCTAGAGTTCAAGAGACCCTGGGAGTTACCCACCCCAGTATCCTCCACCTCATCCCACAGCAGGTTGACTGGTCTCTTTTTATATTACTTCTAACACTACTTATTAGAAAGTTTTACGTCTTCCAAATTCCACCCTTGGTCCAATCCCCCCATTTCACAGATGAGAAACCTGAAGGCTAACTGGGGCTCAAGCACTTGCCTAGGTTCACCCTGCTAGTTTCTAGTAGATCAGACTGAGTCTGGAGCACTGCTCTGTCCTGCCGGGCTAGTGCTGTTTACCTTCTACCACGCTTCTACCTGCAGAGCCACGCTTGTTAGTTTCTTATTGCTTAGGATTAGCTCATCCATTTCAAAAGCTCTAACTAAATTGAAATTATTCCAAGCTTAAAATTTCTGCACCAATTTGTGTGTCACACTGGTCTGCCCCGGAGGAGACACATGGGGGATACCATACAGAAGGAAGTCTGTTTCGATAGGATGAGAGAGAGGAAGAAAGAAGCAAACATTCTAAAACGGCCATTTTCAACCAGAATAGGTTGTGGGTGTCAAGGAGTAAGATCCAGGAGAGTGCCGGGACAAAGCTGAAGAAGTGTACTCCAAGCTGTCCTGGAATTTTGTATCTAGGAGGCAAAATATTTTCACAATGCAAATTACAGAAAGAAAATTCCCACCATCTTCTTGGCTAAGACATGTCCAACAGAAGGAAGCAGGGTTTGGATTCAGAGGAGTTGGTTGACAGAGAAGCACTGTGCTTTAGATGTGGTGGGCAGAGGGCACCCAGAGACCAAGGGCATCCTGTAAGGAAAAGGACAGAGGAGAGGAAGAGAGGCCGGGAAATGAAAGCAGCCGGAAGAGGACGCACAGAGGTCGCTGAAATCTCACTCTCTTCAGTTCTGCCTAAGGCTCATCTCCACCCAGCATAGAAATGTAAGGTTTATATTTGGTTTTTATTCCACAAAGAAACCTTATGCACATCTTTTTTTAAAGTGTATATTATTAAAAATGCCCATGGCCTTTTGGATGAATTGGAAAAGTCATTTACTTTCCTATCGGGTGCAGATTATGTTATAATTAGGTTAAACTCCAGTGAATTTTTGAAATGAAAATAGTCTCAGGGAAGACTTTGGCTTTAATTCTGGGCTTAGGAAACATAGTCCTTTGTAGCTTGCTTGAGAGCTTGACCTCAGTGACAGTGACGAGACTCACCTGCCCTGCTCACGATGGAAACTTGCTCTGTGATGCTCCTTTCCCTGCAGGTACTTCTGAAAGGAGGGCATCTTGGGTGGGATGGAGGGAGCTATCTACAGATCCTGTCACATACAATGCATTTGTGTAGGAAGCTAAAAGTGTCGTTGATTAGCTAAAGTCCCCAAGGGGCATGGGTGACATCCCAAGTCATGTCATTTCAGTCACCCCAACCTCCAGCAAGAAAACTTTCTCTTTCCCAGAGAAGAGCCTCTGATATAAGCACTACTTCTAAAACCACTGCCTACTGCCCCTCCAGGTTTTCTACATAACCCATATCCTGCAGAACTCAATTTAGCAACTCCTAAAGGAAGACTCAGGAGTAAGGAGCTATGACTGTTTGCTCCAGAAGAAACTGCTTCAGATGTTCTAGATCAGTGTTCTCCAAACTTGTCACTTCAGAACCACTTTCACAAATTTTGCCAAAATCCGCATGAGCTCTACTGCCACATAATGATTTCATTTAAATTGACTTAATAATACTTTTAGGATAAATTTTAATACTTTGATAAATGAAGGATGTCATCCCTTGCTAGGGATAAAAACACTGTAAAATGAAGAGAGTAAAAAGCAATGCTTTTAAGATAGTACATATTGGTAACCCATAATGAATATACCTATCATGGGGAATTGGTACATATACATAGTACATTTTAATTCTTTATGTCCCCTTTCCCCTCCCTCCAATTCCTAGATCCCCTTCCCATCTGGAAAAGGTCTCCCTGTTTCCTGTCATCTTTTATTTTGCTCTTTATGTTATTTATGCTTTGAGTTTCTCAAGAGAAACCATGTCACATTTAACCTTCTGTGTCTGACTTATTTCACAGCATTATGGTCTCAAGGTAATGCTACTAAGATTGATAATATTGTTTTCTTCCAAAATTTCCTCAATCTTTTTGTTTTTGTTTTTGTTTTGATACCAGGAATCGAACTCAGATCCTTGCACTTGCGGGACAGGTGGTGGAACCACTGAGCTAAATCCCCGGCCCTCCCAATCTTTATTTCAAAGTGAAGTTCACAGAAATCAAAGAGATACTAAGAATATAACTAAACCCTCAGAAGTAATGGAAAAGGACCAATTAAAATAACATATTCACTATGTTTCAATCTCTAGATTAAGATGGGTAATATCCATAGGAATACTCTAAGGCACAAAAGAGAACTGAAATGACCTGTGAGAAACAGAAAGCCACTGTACCAGCATGAGTTATTGTCATTATTTACCATCATCTTAGCCTTATTTATTATCTTATACCAACTTTGTATCAGCTCCCATTTTGCCGAGCTATTTCCACTTCTATTCCCAAGCAGTGTCTCCTATTAGGACCATTGATTGGTTCTAAATTAATATTGCTTTGATGCTGTTTTAAAGAGAAACTGGAGAGCAATTCCTGAGTAATCTCTATGGTACTAAAGAATTAAGTGAAGCTTTTACCATATATTTCCAAGGTTATTCCCTAATACTGTATTGTTGACTCTGTATAGGAAACCTGTGAATCCATCCTCAACTGCACATTAGAAGAGGTGAAGCAATTCTACCAACCACAGAAGCCAACCCAAAAGCTCTTTGGGTTCCAGCTACCTTCCAAAACAACATCCACCACCTCAGGAGCTGCAGTTCAAGATGCTGGATTGGTCATAGATGGGAAGACGCTGAACGTCATTTTCCAAGCCAAGCTAGAGAAGAAGTTCCTGGAGTTGACTCAGTACTGCCGCGCTGTCCTGTGTTGCCGTTGCACCCCACTCCAGAAGAGTATGATTGTCAAGCTGGCGCGAGACAAGTTGAGCGTGATGACCCTTTCCATAGGTACCCACCATGCTGAGATGTGGGCGGGGGCTTGGCAGGGATGAGCTGACAAAAGTCTTGGATTGCAGGTGGGAGGTCTGGTATCAAAACCAAGATACTCCGGCTAAGGCTCATGGTCTTAGAAAGTTCAAAATAACAAGAAAATCCAGCAACCAAGAGATGAAGCAGAGGCTAACTACAGAGAGAGTAAATCAAAGGTCTTGGAACTAGAAAGTCAGCTAAAGAAAACTCAGGACTTAGAGGTTAAGACAAGGGCATTGAATGCAGAACATGCAAGTAGCTCAAGAAATGTCACCCCGACAATTCACACTCAGCCATCTCAATTCTGAGGTTCAGATCATTTCCCCTCAGTACTTTATACACAGCAGTACCTCAGGTATTTATGAATTTAATATTCTCCTGAGTGTTGCAGGTTGGCAAGGTGGTTTTTAAAATTAGGATTGGCTCACTTCCATTTTGTATGCTTCTTCCTAAATACAACACCAGCACAGAGAATACCCCCACAAATGCTGGCTGGTTTGCCCATTAAAAATTGCTTAGAAGGGAGTAAATTCTAATGATGTCAAAGCACAGAAATAAAAACTACTCACTTAACACCTTGCAGCAACAACCAAACATGTTATACAACAATCTTCCCGATCTTCTCTCCAGCCATGTCTCTTACCACGGCCGCCTTCCCCTCCTTGTCCTTTGGCCCTCCATGTTCCAGCCAAATGAAACTGCTCACCGCTCTCCATGGGCCCTGTTCTCTCACCTGTAGGTCTTTGCATGTGCTATTTCCTCTGTCAAACAACCCTCTTTCCAGGGACAGTTAACTTTCTCTTCTTGTAGGGTTCCTCTAGCAACCACTACTTAGAGCCCCAAGCACCATCAAACTCTGTGTGAGGGCCACCTCAATAAAACATGAGCTCCTGGAGCTGAAACACCCAGCCTGTTCTGGACACTGTTCAGCCACACGCCAGAACATGCTAAGCACACAGTCAACAGAGCAGCGCCTCTTATCCTTGCTTCACTTTCCACAGTCTCGGTTACTATGGCAACTGAGATCCAAACATGCTAAATGAAAAATTCTAGAAATACTTTGTAAGTTTTAAGCAATTTTATTGTAGTGCATTATAATTTCTATAATATTCTGTTTTATTATTGTTGTTGTTGTTCATCTGAATGTGCCCAATTCATAAACTCTACCATAGCTATGTACACATGTATAGGAAAAAAACACAGTTTCAGATTTCCACTGAGGATACAGGAACATGTCTCCTCAGATAAGTGTGGACCCCTCCATTGCTCCCACTTAGTGACATTTCTGCAGATGGCACCAGCTGCTCTGCTTTCTGCACTGGCATAGAAAGAGATTTTCTTTTCTAGTGTTTCTCATGAGATCTAGTAGATATTGTGTCCGCCCCCCACCCCCACACCTGATCTTCGAGTAAAAGCAATTTAGGATTTTAAAAGTGGGAGAGTAGGAACAATGCAGGAAGCAGACCTTAGCTCCTACGTTTCACTTCATACTCTGAATCATCCTCTGCGATAATTCAGACACACAAGGCAACAGCCCAGGACCAATTCTGGGAGGTCAGAGAGTGGCTTCACTCCCATGGCAACAGAAACAAACCCAGCAGGGAGAGAAATGGCAGGGTTCCACACCTCCCTCTCCTGGTGTGCCAATAGAAGAGGCTGAAGGTGGGATTTGTTCCACTACAGGGAGAATTAAAATCATGCATTGCCATGCTATCAAGAAAAAAAATCATTGTGAAAACAAAGTTAACCTATGACGACAATTATTTTGGTTTTTATTCTTTAATTGGCATAACTGTACAACTTTACGGGATACAATATCAATGACAAAAATTTTAATATTTGTTGTCAAATAATTACAAGGAGAATCATTCTCTTCTCCAATTCTGTATCCTTTATGATAAAAAATATGAACTTAAACTGTAGCTTATTCTGAGAAGCTACTAGAAAAAAGAGGTGGAGCCAGAAGAATACAGGCAATGTAGTATGCAAAATGGGTTGGCAGACCAGAGCCCACTGCTAGCTTTTGTATGGATGCCAAAAACGATTTTTATATTTTTTTGTCTTTGTATTCTTTTTCTTTTCACTCTTTTTAAATTGTTTATGCATATTAATGGATTTTATTTTGTCAAATTCATACATGCACATAACATACTTTGATCATTTGGTTTTTATAGTTTTGATGTAAATGTTATAAAAGTTTATTTGCTTTTTAACCAGAACAATTGTTTGATTTTGCTTCTTGGCTCACACAACCTAAACTGACCCTTTACAGAGTTCAGTTTGCTGAACTCTGGTTTTAAAGGTAAAGCCATGGGAAGAACTCTCAGGTTAAAAATACATAAAATTCAATGCTATCTTTTCTAAAACAATCTTTCCTAATATCTGATGTCCCTCTTTGACAGAAGATATATAGATTTTTGATGATATTTCATCCTGGAGAAAAAAAAATGATAAAGCATTGGGGAGAGCCAAGCTTATGAGGAAGGCCTCACTATATAGAATTGTGTGTAGAATTACACATGATTACTTGAATTTAAGTAAAATTAAATAAAATTTTACCAGCCACATTTCAATAGCCGTATTTGGGTAGCAGTTTCTGTACTAGACAGCGTAGATCCAGAACACTTCCAACATAACGGATCTAATTGGCAGTCCTGGTACAGAGGAAGGTCGTGTCTGTGTATCCATGTGTGCCTGGGTATGTATATGCCCATGGCTTACCTCAGTTTCCTGAAACAACTCAATTCATTGAAAGGTAAATCAATGTCAGCAAAGGTATCTCACCAACAACCACAACAGAAAGTTAATCTCATTTTCCGGTATTTAGAAACAAAACTGAATACCATCCGTCCATAATCTCTGATGATTTGGCTGCCAAGCATTCTTATTGTCTTATGATCAGTATGCAACTCACAGTGAGCTACAGATGCTTATTGGTTCTAGAATCCAAAAGATCTGAGTTCCAATTCTTCTGTAACCCTTCACTAGCTGGAATGCCCTTGCCAACTCTCTAAGTTGCTCAGGTTCTCAATTTGCTCATCAGTAAAGCCCACACGTGCACAGGTCTTTTTTTTAAACTGTAATTACTGCCTGTGGCTCTCTTTCTCACCATTGTATCCCCAATACATAATATTGTGCCCTCCAAAACAGACAATAATAAATATTTATTCAACGATAAAAAAGTAAAGCTTTATGACTTTCTATGGCTCTATTCAGAGAAATTTTAGAAAGACTCAGTTGTGTTCAAATGGGAACACTTTATAGCCATCTCACTGTCACTGAGCAGTTGGGCCAGGAATAAAAACACCTCGTAACCTCTTTCTTTCAGGTGATGGAGCAAATGACGTCAGCATGATTCAAGCTGCTGATATTGGAATTGGAATATCTGGACAGGAAGGCATGCAGGTACTGTGCTTGTCAACTATTCTTCTTTTGCCCCTACTCAGCTTTATCCTTTATCCTTGTTTCTCCCCTACCCTCCTTTAATCTCCTCATAGGAGATTTAAGGAATAACCCACAGTGCTGGAGAATTGTCAACTGGAAGTCAGGGATCTTTCATGCTTCTACATGGCCTTCATCATCACACTCCTATTGCCCAGACTTTAAAAAGCAGGGGGAGATCCAAGAATATTTGGTTTTTATAGATGGCCGAAGGTACCTGCATTCTAAAGCTGAATAGCACCCTAAATATAAGCCTTCCCGGACTCCACATGTCATCTCTATAACCTCAACCCACATCCAAAGTTGCAGTACCCTCCATAAGCAATAACAGACATAAGAATAAGGACATTTTTCAATTGCCATTTTAGTCTTGATGGCCAGATTACCCATCACTTGCTTGATACACTTTCATGATCTACCTAATTTACTCAAAATGCAGCATGGAACAATCATACTAACTTGAGTTCCCACTAAAACATATTCCATTTTGTGGTTTTGAAGCATTAACAATTATATTCCCACCACCAGTGCAGACATTTGGCATGGCCTAAATTTGTTGGTAAGCATGAAAGAACATTGATCACGAAGCCACAAAATAGTTCTGTATTACCCTTTGGGTGTCTACCCTATGCCATCTCTCTGTTAAGTACTTGACATTTATTATCTCATTGGCTTTTAATCATCACCACAATTAGGGATTGTTATTCTGTGCTTTTCAGATGAGGAAATGTAGGCTCAGAAAGTTGAAGTAACCTAACCAAGATTCACACCAGGATTTATAACAGGAATGTTCCAAATTTCATATTCTTAAGAGTACTCTAGATTGTATATTATGACTATTCCCAAGGGCAGAAGATACATTCCAGCTCCCTTTAAGGGACGAACTGTCCAGCCCTCAGCTCCATCTGTGAGTGGCTCCAATGGGCCACTCCAGGAGATGAAGGCTGCACAAAGCTTGGAGAATTATATGAATGGAAGCTCCTACTCTCTTGTTAGCTATCACATTCCTAAAATGGAGCCTGCCACATACTTGGATGGAGATGGTGGGCTAGGCTATGCCATTGGCCCATTCTGGAGTGTCCTTCTTAGATTCTAGTGAGGCTTAGATTTCTAAGAAGAGAGGGTGGGGTGTCAGAATTCAAGAGTGACCACATAATAATAAGTGGCCTTTCCGACTCGTGGCTGTGAAGGTAGAACAAAGCATCGCCCTCAATGGCATTGTTGGATAGAAACCGATGCCTCTGCTCTCCCCTCACAGGCTGTCATGTCCAGCGACTTTGCCATCTCCCGCTTCAAACACCTCAAGAAGCTGCTGCTTGTGCATGGCCACTGGTGTTACTCACGCCTGGCCAGGATGGTGGTGTACTTCTTCTATAAGAACGTGGTGAGTGCCTCTCTTGTCACCTCCCTCCCAGGGCCATGTAGTCCTTGCCAGAGCCAGATCTCTGCGAATAATTCATAAGGGAATAATTCAGCCTGACCTTGATTTGGGATCCTAAAACTGTCCCTTACTACCTCTGTGACTTCATGTCACAAATAGCCTCTTTGAAAATTATTGTAAAAATTAGCAGTACTGCATAGAAAGCACTTGGCACATACAGAGCAGTACGAATAGCTCTGAGTATGGACTCTAGAGTCAGACATATGGGGTTCCAATTCAGGTTCTCATGTGTAGCATTATCTCTAAACCTCAGTTTCACTAGCTGTAAAATGCACATGGTAATATTACTTTTCTCATATATGTGCTATCAGGTAGCTTTTCAACAACAAAATACCAATTGTGACTTTTAAGGAGGAAGGGACTTTTTGCCTCCACAGTTTGAGATTTTAGTCCATAGTTGGTTGGTCCATTGCTTTTGGGCCTGCAGTGAGGCAAAGTATCCTGGTGGGAGCACATGGCACAAACTACTTACTCCACGCCAGAAGGAAATGAAAGAGAGAAAGGAAAGGTCCAGAATCTAGATATCCACTTTAAGAGCACACCCAGGTGACCTCACTTCCTTCCTCCCTCTAGGCCTCATTTCCAAATGGTTCCACAGGCAGGCAACTGAACATTGACACATGGGCCTGTGGGGGGAGACTTACCCGTATTATAGTGTTTGCTATGAAGTTTAAATGTGACCTTGCCTATAAAATGATTGGCATGAAGTAATAACTCTGTCAGGTTACCCATTATTTTTCATTAGCGTTGTTGTGGTCATTACTCATACAGTTAAATTTCATAAGCAAGATTTTTCTGTTGCCAGGAAGGTTTTGAACTAGCCTGACTTCCATCATAAATTTTTCTCCCCAAATAGAGCCATCCAAATGCACCGTACCTTAAGAGTGTGAAGGTCTCTCACACAGTGTAAGCCCGGAGCCTCTGGCTTCGACCTGAGACCTACACATCACTGGGTACCACCAGGCTTCCTTACAGGAGCTCCTGGAGGGCAGGAATTAGCTGTTGGCAAAAAGAGCTTGAGATGGGCGGATCATCTGGGTTCTAATCTTTCCTGACTCTAACATGCTGGCTAACATTGAAAAAGTCGCTTAACTTCACTGGCCCTGAGTTTCCTCACCAATGATATAGGGAGATTATGACTGTCTCTGCCCCTAGAAGTATTATTATGAGGTCTTAGGGTCGGAGCTCTGGAAAGCATATAGCACTATGCAAACAATATTGTAAAGACAGTATCGTATGTCCTAAAAATTATGTTGATTTCTGTCTTGTTGTCAAGGGTCCAAAGCAATCTCATACTGCGATATTCAAGTTGCAATCCCATACTGTGATATTCTAGAAGTCTGTGATTAATAGTGGCTTCTGGAAAGAGTCAGAACATCACTGTATTACAGGACAGAACAAAGGCCTGAGTTTTTCACTACCAAATTCAAAGGCCTGTGAATAATCCCCAGGAGTTCCCAAATAGAATCTAATTCCTCTTTGCATAAGGAAAGGGGGAAGATTCAGACCAAGGTAGGTTAGCCAGGAACAGCCACAAAATTGTGGCTTTTTTCCTCTGGGTCACCTCTCAAAGTCCTCCCTCTAGGCTCTGCCACAGTCAGCCTCACTCAGGAGTAAGCATTTCTGTGCCAAGTTTAATACATATGCAGATAAACAGCATGACAAAAAATAATGTAAATTTGATCAACTAGATGGTAATATTATCTCAGCAAGTCTATGCAAACAAGTCACTCCATTTGGGTTGAAACTCACTCTGAGCATGAAAAACTGTTTATTTAGAATATAAAATGCCCCCTGCTTAATTTTTTTTTTTTTTGCAACCAAAGGAATCATTCTTTTGAATAAGCACAACCTCTTCTCTGCATTAAATTTGTGAAATAGAAAAGAAAACGTTTCCAGCCAGCCATGCTTTCAAAGTTTAAATGATATTCATTTCTAGCCTGATTCCGTGCTCAAAATTGCGATACTGATGCCATACTATCTTCCAGCTGCAATTAGAGGGTGGAGAACTATGACTTCCATATTCAAAACCAATTTCAGAGGGGATTAAAATCCTCCCTGCTCTGGAATTTGAACAATGAATTAATTACTGCACTGTAGCTTCTTAGGAGAAAGCAAGCATCCCATCTCACAGATGGTGCCAGGGGGTTCAATGAGCTCCCTATGAGATGTGAAAATTTCAGCATGCAAAATCCCACCAGAGCCTTGGGAGAAAGCAAACAATCTGTAGTGGTTAAAGTTCAAGGGGCTGTACTAGAACAAGAGAACATAGATTCACTCCGTCTACTCAAATAACTGTCGAATATCTTCTGTGTATCAGGGACAGCGGTGGAATAGAGCCACACAGCAAGCCTTGGGCTCAGCACACTTTTTCTGCAAAGGGCCAGACTAGAGATATTTGCTGTTTTGCGGGTCATACATGGCTAGAAGAATCTCACTGTGTAAGCCAAAGATAGGACCGAGAAAGGCTGGGAGTATTTACAGCAAAAGAAGCTTGAAAATTCAGATGCTCGCTATACCACTTTCTAGCTCTCAACTTGGGCAAAGAGCAACTAGGCATTTCAGATCCTCATCTGTAGACTAGGACTAATAATTAATATTACTGTTACTACTATCAATACATTCTATTAATATAATAACATAAATACAATGCTATGATTACCAAAAATAATCTTGCAAGGTTGTTAGAACAAATTATATGCATTGTACACCTAGAAATCCACTACACAGTGACACTCAATAATGTGCATCACACATGGCACATACAGAGTAATTACAATAATTATAATTGACGTTAGAACAAAGTATTAACATGTGACTATTAATAAGGATAATAATAGCCTCTTCAAAAATAACACCAGCCCAGCAGTTGAGAAATGAGAGTTCTAGGGCCGGGGATTTAGCTCGGTGGTTCCGCTGCCTGCCTCACAAGCGCAAGGACCCAAGTTTAATCCTGTGTACCAAAAAAACAAAAAGAAGTGAGAGTTCTGGTTTGAACATAAAGCTGCTGACTCATTTCTTATGAAATCATTCATGTCTCTGTGCCTCAGAGCTAGAACATCTCAGTTCTGTAGGGCCAACGCCAGAGCCAGCTGCTTATGCCACTTTGATCAAGTCACCAAACACTTCACAATATGGTAGACATAATAGGGACCCAGCCCATTCCCAGGCAGGGAGATAAGCAAGCAGGCAATGTTTCACCAGAAGATTTTATTTACCCTTCTGAACAATAGGGGAGAGCATGGACTGGAAATTCTTCTAATGAGATCAGCTTCTCACAGGCTCCCTGCTCACGGTTCCAGCTTCTGTCATCCCTTGCTCAATGACATCCTTGACTGTATATGACCACCCTTGCTGCCATTCGTGTGACATGGCCTGTGTTCCTGTGACAGGTGACAAACTCATGTCCATGAAGGTTAAGAAGTTTGTCCAAAGTCACACAGTTAGAAGTAACAAACCTAGGAATTTAAAACCTGTCCTTTTAACCACTGTAGTGTCCTTACTTCACACGCCAATGACGTTCCCTTCAGGTCTTAGAGAACATTACTAATAGTAATAGAAGTAATAATGGCAGGAGCTACTGTGAGAAGACAGAAGATCGGACTGCATGTTAGGAATACAGAGATGGAGGCCCCACACACATAGGTGAGAGGCCAGAGGGCCTCAGCAGCAGCACACAGGGCCCTCACTCACAAAGCCTTTTCTCTGTCTGCAGTGCTATGTCAACCTGCTCTTCTGGTATCAGTTCTTCTGTGGCTTCTCCGGCTCCACCATGATAGACAACTGGCAGATGATATTCTTCAATCTCTTCTTCACTTCTTTGCCTCCTATCATCTTCGGAATCCTCGATAAAGACATCTCTGAAGAAACACTCCTGGCAGTGCCTGAGCTGTATAAGAATGGCCAGAACTCTGAGGTAAAGGGCCCAGGCAGGCAGAAAGAGGGGGCCTCAGCTTGTTTCTGACCTCTCACACTTCCCTGGCTGTCAGAGGAAGAGCACCAGGCTAGAAATTGAGAGACTTGCATTCTGGCCACTGTTCTGCCACTTGTCTTCTGGGTGACTTTGAGTAACTCCTCTCCTAATTCCTGGCCTCTGCCTAATTTGCTGCTAAGGGTGTTGGACAAGACCTGTGAGTAATATTTTTCTTTTAATTATATCACAGGCTAATATGTGACTGCCCTAGGTGAAAGGTGAAAGAGAAAAATGCTATATCTCTACTAGGGCCTTGAAGTACATCAGTTGAACCCCCATGATGCAGTGTATTTGTCTTTTGTAGTTGCTATGACAAAATACTCATCCCTGAGTCTGCACAATGTAGAAAGGAAAGGAGTTTTGTTCTTTTGGTACTGGGGATTGAACTCAGGACCTTGTGCTTGCGAGGCAGACAGTGGAACTACTGAGCTAAATCTCCGGCGGAAAGGAGTTTATTTAGCCCACAGTTTTGGATGTTGTAAGTGCAGGATCGGGCAAACCCATCTGTTCAGCCTTTTATTGCATCAGACCATCAAAATGGCACCACGGTGGAAACATGAGCAAGGAGAAGAGATCACAGGGTATTATGGCTTGTATCTAGGTGTATCCCCAAAGCCTCATGCAGTCATAGGTGGGGCTTTTCAGAGGTGGCTGGATCTTGGGTATGTAATGCTGGGATTGATGGAGTGATTCTACGAGTAAGCATGCCTCACCCTGGGTGTGAGTGCTACCAGCCCTAAGGATGGGTGGCCTGGATGGAATATAAGGGATAGAAATGGGGCTGCTGCCATCTCTTGCTGCTGCTGCCTGCTGCTCCTTGCTTGCTGCTTTGCTGCCTTCTGCTTGCTCTGCCACACCGTGAACTGTTTCTCCTCTGTGATGCCCCTCTGCCATGCCACCCTGCCTTGGAGCCAGCCAACTATGGACTGAAACCTCTACAAACTGTAAGCTGAAAAAACTTTTCCTCCTCTAACTTAGGTGTCAGGTATTTTGTCTCAGCAATAAGAAAAGTGACTTAAGACATTGGGTGAGACAGGAAGCCAGAGAGATCCACAGGGCAGGCCTGCTTTTTTTAACAACCAACTCTCAGGGGAACTCAATTACCCTCTGAGACAACCATTAACCACATCCAAGACAGTAGCCTCAATGACCTAAGTAACCACCCACTAGGCCCATCTCATAAAAATACTATCACCTCTTCACATCGCCACACTGAGGACCAAGATGTCAAAACGTGAACCCTTGAGGGACACACACAAACCATATCCAAACCATAGCACCCAGTATGGGGAGCTCTGAGTCTACAAGTTTGCTCATCACTGGGTAAGACACTCATAAACGAATGCTTCTATTTCACAATGGGGAAGGCAGAACTTAGAAGTCAAGATCACAGATAATCTGGAACTTGGGTATCAGGTAGAAGACCTGGAAAGACATCAGTGCTTTTGTAGAAAGCCCAGAGAAGCCACAGGGCAGCCATGAATGATTTGGAGAAGGCAGATGGCAGGCATGCAGGTGGTCAGAGCAGCAAAAGGACAGGTATGACAGGATGGAGAAAACCAGAGGGACTCTGGCTGCCTTGAGGGGAGCTCTGGGGAAAGGGATTTGGAAACGCCTGCGAGTACAATAGGTTGTCACCTGTAACAAAGGAGAATAAAACCGCTTGTGGTTTCTGAGATCTGCTGAATGTTTTGTGGACAGCCAACAAAGAATCGAGCCCAGTCGCAACCCAAAGACAGGAGAAGAAAGCAACAGAGCAGTCCAAGCAGGTGGCAGGGGGCAGCCCAGACATCTCTTAGGCTCCTCTAATTTTGCCTTTCCCTCAGGCATGCTGGCTGCATACCATACTCCCCGAGTACCTACCATGTAAGGAGGTTAGTGTGGTTAGAACATCAACCATTAAGGCTTCCTTTCACCTGCCCCCAGAAGGCAAAAAATGAAAAGGTTTGTCTCTGCAGCCACTGAGCTGTCTCTGTGGGCCTGTGGGCCTGGGATGTAATTGATGTCACTTAGAAACTTTAAAAGCTCTACCTGTGCCAGGTTTGTAGTAGCACTAGCCATAGAAGTAGTGATTGATAATTAACAACTGGACACTTGCCAGATATCAAGGCACAATTGCATTTAGTCCTCTTCAACCCTAAGGAAATGTATGTATCCACATTTAGGGGCCGAAAAATACCAGTTCTTGGAGCAGTTTAGTAATTTTTACAAGATCACACAGTGAATGGCAGAGCTGGCACTAGAACTGGAATCTGTCACCCCCACACCTGTGCCCCATTCTATCCCGGCTATGATGAGAGGCACTGCGAGTGACATATTGCCTGGCAGCCACACACAAAAAAGATGTTTGCAAAGAACAGAGCTTGCTTCAGCGTTAACTGTGGGTGTGTTCTTCCCTGGCAGTGTTACAACCTGTCAACTTTCTGGATTTCCATGGCAGATGCGTTGTACCAGAGCCTCGTCTGTTTCTTTATCCCTTACCTGGTAAGTCACATGGTCCCATCCTGCACACATAAATCACAGTGTGGGATCTGTCCTGGTTATGTGCAGTTGCAGACTAGTGGTGTCATTCTGAACACCAGAGCAGAGGCTCCAAACTACTGATTGCATGCTACATCTCACCCAGACTGTTACTTTCTGGTGGCTTTTGAAAAACCAAAAGATGTTATTATACTGGGTCTTTTTTTCCTCATAACAAGAATCAAGAGTTGACTCACAGCCCTGCTGTGATGGGAAACATGTTGTCTGATTTTCTAGACATCTTCCCCACTATTGCCCTTTGTCTTACATCTGGAATATTTTCCTCATTCACTGCTCCCTGCCTGATTATTGAAGATGTGTGAATTTACAGTCCTTGAATTTCATATATATTTGTGCTTCCAAGGTCAAAGCAGCAAGTTTTGATAAAAAGGGTTACTCTATTATTTTAAATAAGTAGCAATTACATGACAGCAAATAATACCAGCCCCATCTCAATTTGGATCCCAGTTTAAATAGTAAGAATTTAGCAGAGGATATCTGTATTTTTCCTGGACAGGGGGCCAGATTGTTGGGCCATTGCCACCAGGTAAACGATGATCCTTACCCAGCCTCTGAGCTCATATTATTTTAAAATTCACAACAAGAGAAACAAGAGAGGGGTATGGAAGGCAGGCATCTTTTGCTCTGCTCAAATTTACTAGTTTGCAATTGGCCTGGCCTGGCCTCTGCTTCTGTTTCTTGCTTTATCTTTTGTACCTACTAAATGCTTCACAGATAGAGCACAGGAGTGTGGAGCTCTACAAACCTACCATGTATATCTTCAGTTCAGACTTTTTCTTGGACTGCACTTCCCTCTGTTCTCAAGTGACTAACTCTCCTTACTCTTATCTCATCTGTCTTCTGTGTTCCCAGGGTCCCTTGTCCTCATCTCTATTAGAGCACTCACCATTTTAAATAGTACCACATCTGTTGGGCCTAGCACACTGCAAACTCACTGCAAATGGACACAGAAATAGCCTCTGCACAGTGCCTGAGGTGGACGCTCAGTGAATCCTTTGTTCAGTCACTACTCAAGGGCTTTACAACCATCATCATGGCTTCTTCTGGTAAATGGGCTTCTAAATAATGTAGTCCCATCAACTTATTTCTCATGAGATCTAAGGATTGCAACTGGACACCTTCTTTTCTCCTTGTTCTTTCCCCTCACTTGACACCTGCCTTCACTGATACCTTTATAAGCACTGTATCAAGCCTTACCTCTCACAATACCTGTTTGCTCTTCCTCTGCAGACCTACAAAGGCTCTGATATCGAGGTCTTCACATTTGGAACTCCAATCAACACCATCTCCCTCACCACAATCCTCTTGCACCAGGCAATGGAAATGAAGACATGGGTAAGTGTCCCAGATCCCCTTTGGCTAAAAAACTACATTCCTGTCTATTGACTACATTAAGATTTTTGAGTTGTTTCTCTCCGTATTTTGATCTACTCAGGAAATACTTACTGAGCTCCCAGGTGAATCCTACATGTAAAAGGGTGATTTGGGTAAAGAAGATAAAATCCCTGATCTCAATATGCTTATCTATCCAGGATGACAAAACTAATACACATTAAACATGAGACAGTTGCAAAAACTTGATAACATTGATAAAATGTTTAGGAGGGTTACAGAGACAAAAAAAAGACTGAACTAAGCATCCCTGAGGTTGTATAGGGAGAAATATTTCCCATTTAATTTCAAGGTAAAAGATTAGAAAACTGCCTTCCGATCACCACCTCTTAAGTATGTCTATAGATCACATTTTTTATATCTGAAAAGGCAATGGCCAGCCTTCTCAACAAAATTTTCTAGTTCATGACAACTATAAAGACAAAGAGCTTAAAATTATGATTTTCATATATTGTCTCATCTAACTGTACAGAGCCCTTTATGTTAGGTATTTTAATATTCCCATTTTACAGATTTAGAAATATGTACAATAAGATTAGGAAATTAAGCAGTTCAAAAGAAAAGCAGGTTTTGAATGCTGGCAGTCTGGTGCTTGAGCATGTAACCCCTTTGCTAATAGTGCAGAAAGACAAGATTGAAACAGTACATGGAAGTCAGTACAGAAAGATTTGTCTCTAACCATATTGAAATGGCTTTTTCTTTGATATGAATCAAAAATTTGGAAAATCACCCCCAAGTAGGCTTAACAAGTTGCTCTGTTATGCAATGGAACTAATCTCACCACCACCATAAACAAAACCAAGCCCTGACCAGCTGGGCCATAGCTGATAAGAGCCACCAAAGGGAACTTGTAGATCCCAGTTCCCATTTTTGAAAACTCCTTGTCCTCTGAAGCATGCCAATGACAGAACAAAGCAATAAAACCACAAAAGCATAGCAAGGGACTAAGCAGGCTCAAACCGCAGGCTTTCTGGGAGCCACGACCAGACAGAAATCATACAGGTAGGGTATGTAGCCCATTTGGGGTAGAGTAAATTGGAGGCCCATTTACTGTCGGATCCAATTTCCCCTCTCAAAAAAGCAAGAAAAAAATGATGACAATGACAAGCTGTTTGTAGTTACAGCTTTATCAAAAGCTATGAGCAAGGAATACAAGAGTCAAAGATATGACTCTGATACTAGGAACTAAGCCAAGCTAAGAGGCCTGTAGAGCTCTTGAAAATGAAAAATGGTCATTGAAATTAAAAGTGTAATTTGCAGGACACGCTGTAGATCAGACACTGGCAAAAAGTAAACTACAGAATTGGAAAGTAGTATTGGGAACTCATCCAGAATGCCACACAATTCTGAAAAAGTAATTAAGAGAAATGGTGGCTGGAATGAATGGCTCCATCATCCACATAATAGGAGTTGCAGGAGACATAAAAGGGAAGAATGATAAAGAAGCAATATTTGAAGCAGTAATCTTTGACAATAAAAATAAATCTGGCTCTATCACCTGAGTGTATAACTATATAATTAAGAGACCCAGAGGTGATCTTAAAGTCTACCAGAGACTAAGTTACTTAAAAAGAAATAACAGTAATTTTAATAGTCAAGCAAAAGTCACTAGAAAACAATAGATTATCTTCAAAGAATTGTGCATGTGTGGAAATATAAAATGAGTCCCATTAATATGTGCAATTAATACTTGTTAACAAAAAAAGTAGGGAAAAATAAAATTTTTGATGAACTATAAGGTTTATCCACCCATAGACCCCAACTAAAAGAAGGGATATGTCTGAGAAAGAAAATGTTTAAGAAAGCTAGAACTCCAAGAAATAACAATGGTGAGGAGGAGCTAGTCAGAGCTAGTCAAAGGATAATTAACTTATGTGAGAGCCTTCATCATAGATAGGAGGAAAATATAGGTACACATTTTACAATATGTCCCTGACTTAAGAAAAGTTCCATTTGAGGAGAACGTTTAAAACTCAGAGTCATTTATAATCCACGAAAATGAATTTTATAACATATACCTATGAATCTTACACAGTACATCTGCAAAAGCTCACAAATCAAATGTTGGTAAGTCAGGGACTTACTGCATATATTTTTCCATTAAAGTCCACATTAATTTATTATCTTGAAAACTTAAGATTAAACACTAAAGTAATGAAACAAGGAAAGTATACAAAGCTATCAATTCTGCAAAATATAGGGAAGATGAAAAGAGCAAAAACAACCAAACAATACAAATTGTGTTCAAATAAATCAAAATGTTAGTACTCAAAATAAATATAAATGGATTAAATTTTCCCTTTAAAAGCAAAAATTATTGCATTAGATACTTTTAATGAATTTTATTTTTGCTTTAGATATTTTTGTAAAGAGAAATTGACAAATTCATAATCACAGGATGAGATCATTTTACAGCTCTATCAGACTTGAATAGATCAAAAAGACAACAAAATAGAAAGGATGTAAAGGCTCTGAATAAGTTGTCACATTTGATCTACTATACAAAACATTACTCCAAACAAATAGCAAATATACATTTTTCTTCAAACACACATACACTATTTACAAAAGAAAAATACCAAATTCCAAATCACACAAGGATTTAAAAGGATAAGAATCATGAAGATATTTAAATTAGAAACAAGCAATCAAACAAAACTTAACATACTTGAAATTTCCAAAATATACTTCTAGATGATTTATGATGTTAAGAATAAGTCATGATAGAAAATATAACAGACTTCCTGAATGACTATAAAAATATGACATATGCAAACTTGTGGGATGCAGCTAAAACTTCCATTAAAAACAAAAAGGTGAAAAATGAACAAGAACTCGAGGGGCAGAGGAAAAGGCTTCCAGGCCACCATACCACCACTCCCAGAACAGAAGAAGGGGCTTCTGGGCTGCCGTACCACTGCTCCTAGCCAAGAGGAAGAGGCTTCTGGGCCACCGTACCATCGTTCCCAGGGCAGAGGAAGTGAGCTGTGGAGGTGCCAACAGCACACGCACGCACGCACGCGCACACACACACACACACACACACACACGCTACTCCCCCTGCCCCGTCAAAATGAGAAGACACGTAAACAAGTCTCAAAATCAGACTTCCAGAGCACCTACAGCAACCCCAAAGGGAAATAACATAGAACATTCTGATACTCAACCACCTGGACTCCCTCAACTGGCAACAAAAGAGGATCTGGAAAAAATGGAATCAGAAATAATTTCTCACATAACAGCAGAGATTGTGCTCATACTGCAAGACATGATTAATAAATCTAGAGAGGAGCTCAGGAACATGATGGAATCCCAACATGGGAAACAAATGGAATCCATAAAACACATACAAACAAATTTCCAGGAAATTAAAAACTCCATTGAAAGTCTACGCAGCTTACAAGGTCAACACACGAAAATCAATAGCTTTCCTCTACACAAATGACAGACTCACTGAGAGAGAAATAGGGCAAATAATTCCTTTCACAATAGCATCCAAAAAACTGAAATACCTAGGAAT